ATACACCTCCCGAATTTTCCAACCTGCTTGTAAGCTGTTCTGTGCCACCTCATAAAGGGCAAAAAGCCTTGATTAAAAAAATAAAATAAATTAGATCAAAATGGACCAAAAAAAGCCTTAAGACACCCATGATGCTGGTTTTTGTGACCACTTGCGCCCCTTTCTACTGGCAGAAAAGGGTGAAGTGTAAGCTTTGAGGGGCTGGTAAGATTTAGTGGAAGCGTTGCTTCAGGTTTGTTTCTCCAGTTTTTTTCTCATAAAACTCAAGCGAAATTCCCTGCAAAGTGACTTACGGGAAGAAGAGAGACCTCCCTGTGGCTTCTTTTCATTTTCTGACTACTCGCCGCCCCCCAACAATCCACCCACCTGACCCTACCGTTAAGTGCTGTTAACCAAACCAAGCAACCCCAAAAGCGAATCTCACATCCTCTCACAAGCGGCAAGGCTTAAAAGACGTGGCGTTTCCAGAGACAGGGTAAAGTAGAAAGGCTTTTCTTCACCTCTACGCTATCCATTTATACCAAGTTTCTTCAGGCGTTTCCTCTTTTTAAAAAATCATAAAGATTCCACTTGATTAAAGCAGTAAATCAGGTAAATCCTAATTCTGGGAAGCAGGAAGGGAAATACTGCAAACTCCCCTCTCACACCACTGCACACATAAGTATAAACACACCCCTGTAATTAACAGGTCACACACTCTCTCCACACATACACTCTCTCGCTCTATATATGTATATATATAAATATATATATGTACAGAAACCTTAAAAAGGAGTTCAGAACGGCTATGCCATAGTGTGAGTCTATGAAATATACTCCTGAGGCAACTCCTAAAGAGGTGAGGAAGCTGCAGTCCATCGTTGGGTCTTTGTTAGAAAAAGCATAGGGTAAAGGGAACGAAAGACAGCTGGTCATCCTTATGAGGATGTGCCGCTCCTTCACAACAGACTGGCCAGGCTGGTGGTGGGTCCGTTCTGCGCCTGGAATTGGACAGGTGGGGGTCCGTCCGTCCACTAGAAAGGAGGAGAAGCAAAGAAGAAGATCCGGGTAAATGGAATGGGGGGCTTAATTTCACTGGGAATATAACTGCTCTGCCTTTCAAGGCAATGCCACTCATTTGCCCAGCTGCATGAGGGAAATGCTAAGCCACTTCAAAGCATAACGTGGGGAATCTCTTCGCTATTTAATGTAACTTTAACCTAAAACATTAAGAAAGATGCAGTGGCTTTCCTTCACCTTTTAAATCTGAATCCTATTTTTCAGAAGGAGAAGAAGTTTGCAAATAACCAGCAGCAACATAAACCGAAACGCCCCAGAATCTCAACACTGATCAATCCTGTGGTCTTTCGTTAAGTCTTCTCCTATTGGGTGTCCTCGTGCTGTGCTGGAGGACAATATCCAGAAGCAAACAACTAGCTTCCTAACATGTCGTTTAACTTGCCCCCCCAACGCTTTTCCCAAGGGGGGGAAATAAGTAAAAAGGTGGGTGGGTAGGCAGAGATCTGTTTCCCAGTGCTTCAAATATTCCAGGGATTTTATTTTTCTAGTCCACCCAGTGTCTGGGATTATGAAGATAAACAGGGATCTGTCTTCGACTGCTTATTTAATAAGCAAGTAGGAAAGTAACAGGTCTGGGAAAGAACAAAGTGAGCGAGTTAGCGAGCGAGACAGAGGCATAAAACTTTTTACATATAATACTCAAAACTTTGAACCTGAAGGGCAATGTACCGTGATGAGGTTGTGCTCCGGAAGGCTACAGGCCTCAATATGGTCCTGGAGAAGCTGCTGGGAGAAGTTCTGGTGCATCTGTGCAGCTTCATGTGCATCCATAGCATTTCCACATGCTTTGTTCAGATCTTTTTTGTAGAATAGGGGAGAGAGAGAGAGACAGAGAGAGATGAGGCTGTAAAAGAAGGGTGGTCAACAAAAAAAGTCCTTCTGGCTCCTCTCCTGCTAGAAGCTGGCCACCATTAAAGCTATCTTGGCCTTTATTAGCTTTTTTTAAAAAAGGATCGTTATGAGCATTTTTAAATCAGACCTGAATTGAAATACTACTATCATCTGAATGAAAACAAACATGGGACCATGAGTGCATGAAGGAGGGGAGCTTTTTGTCCGAAGGACCTGGGGGAGAAGGCTTTGCATCCAGCACCAAACGACGATACAGTATTGGGTGTACAGTTGCATCCATGCTACATAACAAAAGTACAGTCCTTAAAAAGGGCAGGGAGACATGCAGTCCTTTCAAAACCCAATGCACCGTGCCTGCCTCACTGGACAGACTGGCTGGGGAGGATAGGAACTGGAGCCCACGACAGCCAGAGGGCCACCAGTTGTCTCCAGCCCGGCCTTGGCACTTACCCCTCAAGAGTGCGGACGACCACAGCTGCACGGACATGTCTGGGATCTTGCTGGCCAGCTGCATCGCCGGCACGACCATGTTGTTACTTTCCTAAGGGCAAACACACAGGTGGGTGAGGGCCCCATTCTCTGGCACCACAGCCCCAAGTCCCGTCTCTAAACTGCAAACTACGACCTTCATCTTTTCTTGACGTTTCTGGCACTAAAAAATGATCTGCCTGAGAGGGTCAGGCGAGAATTAGCGCGCACACACATATACCCTGGGGACCCTGCCCACTGTCTCTCTGCATGAGTCCCTGTTCTGAGCACTCTCCCTTCCTAGAAAGAGCTATTCCCTGAGCAGCTGCTCCCAGGGAACTGCTATCAAGCCGCTCCTTCAAAGAGTTCTCACACATCTCTTCATAGGAAGCAAAGAGGGGACAGAAGGGTGCAGCAGCCAGAGGCCAGGCCACAGCACTGAATTCCACAGATGCAATAGGCAGCTTCCCCAGCTGAAACCTTGACAAACTTTGTCTATTTTTCACCCATTAGGGCAATTCCCTGAAGGCTGCAAATCTGACCAGTGAACACTGTCAGAAATGTCTCTTTAGCAATCCCTTCCGAGGCCTTCTCTCTCTCTCTCTCTCTCTCTGCTTGTTATTAAGGCAGGATGGGAAACCATTAAGCCTGTTGTGCATCTCCCCATCAGACCAGATCATGAGACCACCTCTTCCAGTCATGAGGTCTTAAAAGTTTCAAAGAAAGAAAGTAAGCAAACAATGCTTGAGAAACCCTTAAGGCTTACCCTGTGGTTCCCTAACACATAGAATATGTGGCCCAGAAGCACAAGGGAACAAGCAGTTAGCCGATTCAGGTCTTCCGCATTGGACATTTTCAGCGTCTCCCGCAAAAAGCGCCTGTGGGATCAGATAATTATGCCAAAATAGATTTGCCGTGCCCTTAATAACCATTAAAGATCTCCAATACACACACACACACACAAGCCAGTAATATGCATGTTTCCCAAAAATTATCTGTGCTCTGTATTTCTAAAACAGCGCAAACTAGAAAAGCAAACACTAGGCCACAGTGTTAAAACTGCCCACCTGTCACCGACGAGGGAACACCTTGGATTTTGTTTACCAGTTATCAAATTCATGTATCTCAAGAGCAAAAGCTAACGAATTTACTACAACGGAACTACTACACTTCGACATGTTCTCTAACAGAACATTAATCTCTTCCCTAATCTTGATTTGTTCTCTTGCTTGCAAATCTGCCCCGAGATTTACATTATTTCCTTGAGTCTATTGCTGCCACTGCTCTGAATCTACCAGATTCACTTGGGGGTGTGTGTTTAAGGATGAACAAGCTGCCCCCAGATGCTATCAGACTGTAAACCCCATGGGTGGGATCTGCAGGAGGACCCACGCTGGCCATCACCTGGCTTAGGGGGTGAGGGTCTGTTACCCACAGAGATTTACTAGCTCACCAGGAAGGAAGGAAGAAGCCAAGCGGAAGGCACCAGTTCAGCCCTGCAGAATTAGGGCCTGCCCTCCCACCGTCCTTCTTTCAGATCATCTCCCTGAAGCCAGGACACAATACACCAAGACTCGCAACACAAAGTGGCTCCTTTCACCAAAGAGGTAACTTCTCGTTCTGGATCCTCCTCCACTTTTTCCCACCCTCTGTTTCCAAAAAGAAAGAAGAGCCCAGCCCCGGCAGGACTCACTTGGCTTCGTTGTACCTCCCTTGGAAAAAGGAGAACAATCCCCGGATGTAGAAGGCGGCAGCTCGCAGGCAGTGAGAGCTGGGAGAAAAAAAACACACACACACGCAGCCCCGTTAATGGACATGAGGAGGAGGAGGCACCAACCCAAGAAACACGGTTCCGCCTTTGTTTTCTGGTGACATAACAGCCAAGCCTCCCATGCCTGAGATGCTAATTTCTACTTGTTTCCAGCAATCATGGTGGCTCTCCCAGAGAGCAGTTTCTCCATTTTATTCCCCAAAGCCAAAAAGAAGAAGACCTGAGTTCCCCTCTGATCCTAACCATGACTACTGTCTGCTGAGTGTATTCTACGAATGCCTCTACCTACCTCACAGGAAAATTGTGGTCTGGATTTATTCGTTCCAATAAACTATAAAGCTGAAATTGAAGACAGGAAGAGGAAGATCATAAGTATTCACCAAGGCACGACACAAAATTTTTAAAATATGTTAAACTCCAGACAAAAGAACAGAACATGTCACCATCCAGCAGGCGCAAAAACTAGAATCAGTAACATGGACTGTGTAGCCCACAAGACTGTAGTAAACAATTATTATTAATAATAATAAATGCTGGAAGCCTTCAAGAGAAAACTGGACCACCCTTCTGTCAGATCTGCTTTGATCTGGACTCCTGCCTTGAGCAGGGGGTTGGACTCAGCCTTTTGAGCTCCTTCCAAATCCATGATTCTAGAATTTTTTGATTCTATTATACAGTGGTGCCTCGCTTAGCGATTGCTTCATTTAATGATGTAATCGCTTAACGATTAGTTTTCCGGAGCGATCTTGCGCTCCGTTTAACGATGTTTCCTATGGGCGATTTTCGCATAGCGATGTTTGGGACCTTGTTTCGCATAGCGATGACAGTTTGGGTCCCCCTGTTTCGCTTAACGATGGTTTCGACAGCCTCGTGTTGCCTGTCTTTTAAATGTTTAAAAATGTTTAAAAAAGGTTTAGAATGCTTGAAATCATAAGTGCACTTAATAAACCCTTTTTGTTAAACTAATTTGACTTTGTTCTGACTCATTTTGAATTTGTTGTAATTTTCCCCCCGCTGAAATGCATTGAATAGGTTTCAATGCATTTCAATTGGGGAACCGCGTTTTGCTTAGCGATGTTTCCTATGGCGATTTTTGCTTAAGGACGGCAATCCATTCCCATTGGAACGGATTATCCAGTTTTCAATGCATCTCTATGGGAAAACGCGTTTCGCTTGGCGATGTTTTCCCATAGCAATGGTTTTTTTGGCACCATTAAAATCGTTAAGCGAGGCACCACTGTAATTATTATTATTGAAGAAACAAAAACCCACTCAGGGTGGTTCAGACTCTCCACATTTTCCATCGAAGCTGTACAGAAAATCCAGAAAGACAGGCAAGGGCTCCTACCTCCTGGTGTCGGTTTCCCTCCCGGATGTAAACGCTGGCGAGGTTGGTCACGATGAAAGCCCACAGCTCTTGATGGGTGGTGAGCTGTCGTAGCAAGAGAACCCATGCACAGAAAAAGAGGAAAGACCATCATCAAATCTGGGACTCCCCCCCCCCCTTTGTGGTAGTTGGACATAAGGCAGAATTTTTCTTTTCCTAAAAAGCATGCTCTGGCCGTATAGTTATTGCCATGGTATCGAGGACAGGGAAAACGGTCTTACCCGGAGTGCGGTGGTAAACTGCGCCTCCGCGTTGTCCATGCAGTTTACAGATATGCAGTACAAACCCTTCAGGAATAAACAAGGAATTATATGTTGTAAAATAACAAGAGATGCCCGGCAGGAGGAAGAAAATGGTGGTGAGTGCCTGCAGGAATGGGTTTAAAAACCCACTCTGCATTCCAGAGCTAAGTATAAACACATAAAAGGAAAAGTTATCCCTAAACCTGTTCCAAAGGGATAGGGAAGCGCTACCCCCACCATAGACCCAAACTCTAATAAACATGCCTGCACCCCACCCACCCCAGCTATGCCACCCAAATTAAGCCACAGGCAGAAAGCTCTGTGAGGCACCAGCAGGTATGTGTACAGAGGGAGCCATTTCAAAATGGTCGTTAAGGAAATGGCATTGTTTAGACGGGGGTGGGTGGGAGAGAAACCTCTCTCAGGCTGCGAAGGGGCTGCCACGCCTGGCCACCTGAAGCAGTTTGGGATGCTCACCAAAAGAGTGTGCAGCTGAGCGGCATGGTTTGAAAACAGCCGGGGAGACTGCTGACAGAGCTGGCAGACCTGGGAAATCTACAGGTGGAGAGAAAGAGAGAGGAGGAAAAACAGCATGGTCAAGAGTGGCGATGAAACCTGGCCCCCTCGGCTCCCTTTCCTGGCCTCTCGTTTCTCTACCACCCTTAGTTGGCCCCAGTGACTTTCCTCAATAACTCTAGTTTTTACAGAGACCCTTCCTCCCCCTCCTCCTAAAGAAACCCCTTGGGAAAAAAAGCTTTATACAGCTCTCTTTATCAAATCTTCACTTTGCATTGCCCACAGAAGGGCGAGAAATACCCAGGTAAATGCACTTCAGGTTCTCTGGACCCTCAGGGGAACGACGGGCGAAGCCTAGTTTGGAGGGCCACTACAAAGGTAACACAAAAGTCTTTACCTCCTGTAGGGCGGTGGCTTTGTGACCTGTGACAAGGCGGCACATGATGATATGCTCCAGCAAAATCACTTGGAAAGAGGATAAAATTGGGCTGCAGTCTAGCACTGGGGAAGAAAAGGGGTGTCGTTAAGGGAAAAGAATCATTCTATCGTCAAAAGACCAACACTGCTGTCACCGGCTTTCCCCAGGGCAAGCGCCAATACCCGTTTTAAGACGCCACTACCATCCCCGTGAAACTGTCATGGTGTGTAAAGTCTTCTTGAACCCCCTTGGGCTCCTGAAACTTCCCCCCAAAACCTAAACCTGCCTCCTTCATCAGGGATCAAGGAAGCCTCCCGGAAAAGGACCAACCCCAAGCAATGAAGGGCACAGGATGGCGTGTGCAGAGTTAGAAAAGGAAAAGCTGCCTGGGCTGGGCACGCCTTTCTGAATTAACACCACTAAAAAAGAGAGACTGCAAGGAAAACAGCATTTTTTTGTATCAGAGTTGAGCAGCAAAGGCAGATGCTGCCTTTGGAGTAAGGAATCGAAGCCCCAAAGAGGATTCTCCACCCCATCCCCCGGTTCCTCACTTTTGAGTTTCTCCAAGAGGAAAACAGCATTTTTTTTTGTATCAGAGTTGAGGGGCAAAGGCAGATGCTGCCTTTGGAGAAAGGAATCGAAGCCCCAAAGAGGATTCTTCACCCCCCTTCCCCGGTTCCTCACTTTTGAGTTTCTCCAACTGCATCAAGGCTTTGTCGGTGTACTTCTGGGCTTTCTCCAAGTATCCGGCCTGCATGGAGTGCATGACAGTCACCTGCCAGAGAAGACCAGAACCCTGATCCACTGTTGTCATTTCACAGCAAAAAAATATAATAAATAAATAAATAAATAAATAAAGGGGGGGTAATCCGAGCTCCCGCAGCGCATAAACCCGACCCACTCTGCAGGAACAGCAGTGGGAAAAAGTCACAAGCTGTAAAAATAGCTCCGCAGGCATGCTGGCTCACTGCCTGTGTCATTAGAATGTGCATACAATATTGAAAAATCAGCTTAAATGCCACCGCCCCCCAAAAAGGGCATCCTTTGAAAGATGAGGGGCCTCAGATCAACAGCTTCGACTCTCTCTCCCCACTCCAGCCAATGGTGTGAAAAAGAACACCGCTCTGGTAGGGGAACCTTGCTTCACTGGGGACCTGCCTCCAGTTTAAGTACTTACAGTCTATTGAGGCACACAGGAGAAGCCACATCCATTTGTGAGGTCTCCCTTGCACAAAAAGAGAAAGGGGCTTCTCTGGCTGACCGTGCCAAAAAGATCCTGCCCACCAGAAGAGACCAGACTGGATCTAGGCTGGAGGGAACCAGTGCCTAAATGGACATGGCGCCCGACCACCCATGACTGGCCTCCTGAGGGTAAAAGCCACCCAGACGCAAGGGCCCAAGGCCGCCGCTCACCAGGTAGACCAGGACACACATGTGCTCTTTGGGCAGCCAGTGGAAGAGGTCGGCCGGGTTGCTGGGCAGGATCTCGTCGTCATGGAGGGTTGAGATGGTCTGGATGCACTGCTGGAGCTGCTTCAGGCAGGGCTTGACGCTCTTCACCTGTGAGCGCCGCAGGAGGAAGGGAAGGATTGGGCTCCGAAAGGAAAGAGGCCCCACCGCTTCTCGCATTTCCTCTTACAAATGACTTGTTTCCACCCCAAATTCATTAAGGGACCTTTTTTGGTGGGGATTGCTTGGGGTGGGAGGGGGGACGGGACCCAATAGACAGCTCACCAGGTCCCCTCCCCACCCAAAGGGTAAGGTTTGCTTCTCCAACTGCAGCTCCCCAGTCTTAACCGCTTCTGCTCACCTGACCGGCGTCCAGGTAATGGGTCACCTGCAGCACCAGGAAGAAGACACGCAGCGACTCCTTCTGGATGGGGTTCCCCTGCCAGTTCTCCACAATCTGCCCGCAGAGCGTGAGGAGGGGGTGCACCTCCTGCAGCTTCCGCTCCATGAGCAGCAGCTACGAGCACACAAAGGAAAGAAGTGTTTGAACTTGCCATGTAGGCTTCTCCTGCTTTGGAAAGAGAGGGGGGAAAACAGTCCCAAGGGACACCACAGAATTTTTTTAAAAAAATCAAAACCAGCTTTCCCTGGTGCTTGGCTTCCACACGGAAACAAAACAGAAAGGAGTCAGAAAGTTTTGTAACATCTTGCCTGATGGAAGAGACCCGACGGTCTCAAAAACCGTTTTTTTTTCTGGGCATCTTTGCAAATGACTTAATAAATAAGAATTGTGCTCATTTTCCCCCCCTTGGAAAAAAAAAACAGGAAACAGGGCTACTTCTGCTTTCCAAACGCTCATCTTAACTAGGGCTTCTGGCTGTTGTTGAGAACCTGCCAAAAATATAGAGGGGACACATGCAGGACATTTTAAAAGCTACGTCACACCGAATTTTTTGCAGGCAAAATGGGTGAAAAGTCTTATGCCACCTTAAAGATAAATGGTATCTGTTCTAAGCTTTTACTGAAGGCAGCTGGCCTAAGGGAATGCAGCTGACCCAAAGCTTATGTGAAATAAAGTGTGTTTGTCTTTAAGCCAGCACAAGACCCGGAATTATTTTTGCCACCAGAGATTAATATGGCCACACGCTTAGAAAACTTAGCCAAATTTGGGGAGAGCTGGGGGGGTTAGGTGGTGCTCTCTGTTTTTGCCCCTTCATCTACTGTCTTCCCTTGGTGGGCATTAAGGAGACAAACTCTCCCTGCTGGTTCACCCCCTGAAAACAGACCCTGTCATCCTGCCACCCACATAGGCAAATGCAGGCAAAAGAAACTTACCATGCCTTTGCTTAAGAGAAACAACGCTCTGAAAGAAAAACAAAACCCAAGGACAGTAAGATCCTAACATACATCAAGGGTCACACAAAGTACAAGACATTCCCCAGTCACTAAGTACCTCCCACCTCCTCCATAGACCAATATGTACCAAAGGAGAACAAGATGGGAATTTTAGCCAAGGCCTTCAGTAGTAAGGAAATCACAGCCATTCTAACCACCAAGGGGCCTAATGTTTTCAGTGCTGGGTCACACATAAAGCAAGCACACACAGACACACACACACTCAACCAATCCTTGCTTTCCCAGACTCTTTTCTACGCCTCGACCCACTGGGATCCAGACAGAAATTGCTCTTTCCTCACTGTTAGCAACAGAGCAGGTGCAAACTCAGCCGGGGCAAAGGTCCGACCCCCTTGTTCTACAAGATGGTGTGGCTGCTTTGGATGCCACCACAGAGCACATCCCAGGAAACTATTACGTCTCCCTCTGTGGGTCCAAAGAAAAACCACCTACCGGGTATATTCTGATCCTACCACGCGGGCATACTCGGCTCCAACCCCCAAAAGGTCACAGGCCGACACCAAGTCCTTCTCAAGGGTGTGAAGTTGCTACACAAAAAAAGGATTACATTTCAATCAGGTGTACGTTGTGTTCTACGCAAGCCTTCTCCCTTTTTTACCTCATTTTACAGAGAAATGTAAGCAACAGTTATGTAACAAGAATATTCCATTTAGGCCTTCCTAGGTTTCCATGAAAGGTCTGCTCGCATGCAATGCCTAGCAAATCTAGACTTCTGTAACAATTATCACTCTGAATCTCACAACTTTTTAACCGGATTTAAACCCATTCAAAGAGCCGGCAAACTAAACTTACCGCAAGCTGGAAAAGGAGACGGCAGTGCCAGTACGGAGTCTGCTGTGAGATCTGGATGGCTTTACGGAGCAGGGGCTTAGCTGTATCCACTGAGTTCTGAAAGTAAGGGGGGGAAACTCAGTTTATGCATACAAAAGAGGGCCACAGGAAACAGTCCAGTTCTAATACATAACAGCAAAAGCAATAGGTAGAAACCAGAAAAGAAAGCAACTGGACACTGTTAGTGATGGTCTGAGGCAATGCTGCATTTAAACATTTCATTTCATTTCATTTCCTTATTTTTACTCCACCTTCCTCCTTAAAAAAGACCTAAGGTGGGTCAGATCAGTGGAAAATAATATTCAAATCTAAAACAGTAAGTAAAGAAATACTACAAAGGATCAAACACATTCCACACTAAAAAACAGTAAAGAGAAGGAACACCAAAACACATTTAAAGCAATAAGGCATAACAATCCAACAATCCATTAATAAATGCCACACTGAAGAAAATACTGTATTGGCTGAAGAGAAAGGTCTTTGCCTGCTTGCCGAAGAACAGGAATGGTGTAAAGATACGTTCAGAGGTCACTCTCCTGACAGGTTCGTTTGTTTTTTGTGGTTAGCAAAGTGTCATCAGATTTCTATTCTAGCAGCTAGAAGTTTGATTACAGAGGTAACAGCTGAATTTGAGGGCACTAGGTGTCAAGTGGAACCATCATTTGGTGAGTGAAAAGAAAAAAACCAGAGTAAATTCTATTTAATTTCCTCTGACTAAATAGTTCCCCATACACAAGCCAACACCTAAAAAAGACAAACAGAAGTACATATGAACACTCTGGATTTCTATCTGCTTTGCAGTAAAAGGTGATTTTTAAAAAAACCTTCCCCCCTCCTCAGTTTCTCAAAACAATGATGTTTAAACCAAAGACAAGGGAAATACATTCATCTCCACTTACCTCTTGACAATACAGTTCTGACAGGAGACTTGCAGCTTCAAATTTGACATCCTCAAACTGTGGTATCTAACAGCATCCAAGTTAAGCATATACAGTAAACATTTTGTCCACCAGTCAACTGAATTGGAATCAGTTTTACTACCAAAAAAAGGGAGACGGGGGGCTCTGAAAGGTACATAATTCATATTTTCACTCAGTCAGTGCAAAATGAAACGTGGTTATAGCTCCCCTTCCAAGCCATACTTTCACAGCTTCTATTTCGAGCACTTCAGCTCTAAGTATGTAAAGCAAATCTATGCATTACCTTCGATGAGCAAACTAAATATAGACATCAAGAATCAATGCAACTTCCTACGCCCTTGTCCAGGAAAAGCTGTGTCCAAATAATTGGAGGATTGGGTGGTAGGAGTTTGCTGGAGACAATCCCTGTGTTCAAGGGGATCAGGTTAAAAGGATACATGTTGTGATATCAGCCACTGCAAAAGAAATGGGAGGGGGGGAAGGTCAAAGTCGTAAAATCCACAAAAATTGGGAGGGGATTCTGGGGGTTGTAGCTGCCTCCCTAAACGATGGTCCCTAGCCATCCATTCCTTAGGGGATTCTGGGATAAGGAGACTTCTCCCAGCCAAACACAGTGGGCATGCTGTGAGGGGATTCTGGGAGTTGGAGTCACCTCCTCAAACAACTTCTCCCAGACCCCATCACTGTAGGGGGATTCTGGGAACTGTAGTCTTTACCACCCCCAAAGGAGACTTCTCCTAATCCTAAATTGTGCTCCTTCAATGAGGTCAATCCAGGAGTTGTCCTTCCTTCCCCCGAGTGGCTTCCCTCAGCCATGCCTCTCTGTAGGGGGATTCTGGGACATGTAATCTCCCCTATAAGAAGCCATCTCCCAGTATCACAAAGTCCCTTGAGCAGGAGATACTGGATCTTGTAGACCCCAACAACAACAGCATTTGATAAAGCAATGCTGGGAGTTGTAGTCCCTCCCCAAACAACCTCTCCGAGCCCTCCCCTTCATGCCTTCCGCTTCTCCCTCTCTCCAAGGGCACTCCGAGGCCCATCATCCTCTTTGATGAAGGGATGATGCGAGTTGCAGCGCCCGCCCAAACGACATCTCCTAGACATCCACATTTCGTGTCTGCAGGGGGGATTCTGGGGCTTGTAGTTCCTCCCCCCACCACAGCCTCCAATGAAGGGATGCTAGAAGTTGTAGTGCCCTCCCAAACGGCATCTTAGGCCTCCACATTTCGTGTCTGTAGGGGGATGATGGGGCTTTTAGTCCCTCCCCAAACCACCACCACGTCTGTCGGGGCTCCCCGGCTTCTCCCCATAGGTACTCCGGAGCCCATCATCTCCTCTCCTCCGCTCGAGCTCACCGCCTTCTCGAGGTGCCCTCGGGCCTGCTCGCCGTTGCGGGTGTGGTGGTAGAGGACGGAGCCGAGCTGGAGGTGGGTGCGGGCCTCGACCCGGGCGGGGGGCTTGCGGGGCAGGACAGCCTGGAGGCAGTGGACGCAGAGGCGGACCTTGGGCGGGCTGGAGGTGCGGAAGTGCTCGGCCAGGCCCAGCAGCGCCACGTACCACGACTCCGAGGAGGCCGAGGAGGGCGACGGGGAGGGCGAAGAGGCCGCCCCGGCGCCCCCGGCCGCCCCTCCGGAGGAGGAAGACGACGACGAGGAACCCGGGGCGTTGCTGTTGTTGGCCGGGGGGTGGTGGGAGTGGCCGCTGCTGTTGTTGTTGCCGCCCCCGCCTGAGGACGACGAGGAGGAGGAGGACGACGCCGAGCCGCTCCCTCCCCCTCCTCCGCCGGTGGCCGCCTCCGAGGACGAGCCGGAAGGCTGCTGTACTACCACGGCCGCCGCCGAGGCCTGCCCAGGAGGCCCCCCTTGGGAGGCTGGAGGGGGCTGAGGCGCCGCCGCCGCCGAAGAAGACGACGCGGCCGCGGAGGCCCCAGGCCCCGCCGAAGCGGAGGAGGAGGACGAGGAGGCGGCCGCGGGCGTCGTGGTGGCGGCCGGAGAGGACGAGGAGGACACCGCCGCCCCGGTAGTATTGCTGCCGCTGGCGCCGCCTCCGCCTCCTCCCGAACCTCCGACGGCGGCCATCTTAGATTTACCTCAGGACCAGCCGCGGCTGGGCCCGAGGGACCCGGATACAGCGGCACGGCGCCTGCGCGGACGGGCCCGGAAGATCCGGATGGGGCGCCAGGGCGCCTGCGCTGCCGGGAGAGAGAGAGGGAGGGGACCCGGATGGCGGCTATGCGGCGCAAAGGAACATGGGAGGGAGAGGGCCTCGCGGGCGCGGAACTGGAACCTGAGAATACAAGGCCCGAGAGGGCAAGAGGGGCTGAAAAGGGGGCGGTGCTTGAGACAGAGAACTGCGTCTGCGCAGGACCGCAACGCTCCATGGGAAAGCGAGTGCCAGGGCTTATTAATAGATTTGCTACTCAAAGGTTTGCCCCCGAAATAACGGGATTATGCTAGTCTCGCGATATTTCATTTTTTCTCATTTAATTAATATTATTTTAACACCGCCTTTCTCCTTAAACAAGTATCCAAGGCGGTTTACAAAAAAATAAAAGATTTAAAAGCTGAAAACAGAAATGCAAATATCAAAAAAGGTTTTAAAAGTGTCCTATTTGTTTTGATTGCTGCCTATTAATAAATTCATTCATTGCATACAATTAATACCGGGGTAATTGGGTCTTTGCCCCTGAGTCCCAGAACTTGAGAAAAATAAATATCAACCCCTATGGGCTTTCTTTATTTTGGTATTTCTTTATTTTATTTATTTCCCTTTTACTGTATTTTTTTTTTTACTCTGCAAGGGTTTCTCCTCCATCCTTTTTCTTCTAGCGGGGTTACAACCCATGACTCCAAAATCAGAGCAATGATACTTCCTAACAGAGACCTTTGGGTAGAGTGGGCGCAATATAAATTAAATAAATAAATAACAGGTACATAAAATTGTGCTTAAAATATAGTGACGAATAGATCGTGAATAAATGTATATGTTTTATCGAATCTTTTGGAAAGCTAAGCAAAACATGCATCATAAATTTTGTTTGTTTGTCCAGTCGTTTAGTCGTGTCCGACTCTTCGTAACCCCATGGACCAGAGCGCCCCAGGCCCTCCTATCCTCCACCGCCTCCCGGAGTTGTGTCAAATTCATGCTGGTTGCTTCAATGACACTGTCCAACCATCTCATCCTCGTTCGTCCCCTTCTCCTCTTACCTTCACACTTTCCCAACATCAAAGTCTTTTCCAAGGAGTCTTCTCTTCTCATGAGATGGCGAAAGTACTGGAGCCTCAGCTTCAGGATCTGTCCCTCCAATGAGCACTCGGGGTAGATTTCCTTTAGAATTGATAGGTTTGTTCTCTTTGCAGTCCAGGAAACTCTCAAGAGTCTCCTCCAGCTCCACAATTCAAAGGCATCAATTCTTCGGCGGTCAGCTTTCTTTATGGTCCAGCTCTCTCTTCCATACAACACTACAGGAAAAACCATAGCGTTGACTATTCGGACTTTTGTTAGCAAGGTGATATCTCTGCTTTTTAAGATGCTGTCAAGGTTTGACATTGCTTTCCTCCCCAGAAGCAGGCGTCTTTTAATTTCGGGGCTGCTGTCTCCATCTGCAGTGATCATGGAGCCCAAGAAAGTAAAATCTGTCATTGCCTCCATATCTTCTCCTTCTATTTGCCAGGAGGGGATGGGACCAGTGGCCATGATCTTAGTTTTTTTGATGTTGAGTTTCAGACCGTTTTTTGCACTCTCCTCTTTCACCCTCATTACAAGGTTCTTTATAAGTTAAATAAGCAGGGAGACAATATACAACCTTGTCGTACTCCTTTCCCAATTTTGAACCCATCAGTTGTTCCATATCCAGTTCTAACTGTTGCTTCCTGTCCCACATATAGGTTTCTCAGGAGATGGATAAGGTGCATCATAAATAGGTGTGTGTATTCTGTTTGCAGTTTTAAATAAAAGTGATAATGCTTCTTCGACTACCTTATAGTTAAAAGACAGCAGAGATCCCTGTAATATTACTCGGTGTTTGCTTTCAATATGGGATTTATGTAGTTTTGTGATTTTTACAGCCCTATTTTTCTAAATTAATGTTGTAATTCATTGACAAGAGAGGAGGTTAGGATATCAATTAAATACCTCACTGATAATTAGAGTAATAATTCAGCTAAACTAATATAGTTTTATCTGTCAATTTCAAATAGAGTGAAATTACGTTTTTATTTTATATAAATGTATTTTATATTCCAAAGAAACTGTATTTATAATACTGTACAAATGTAAGCATAAACGTGTGTGTGCAATTATTGTTTATTTTGCATATAAAATAAATATATTAAAATATGCTTACGGCTTTGTTTTGATGGTTGAGGTTTTTCCCGCTCTGCCTATGGGAAATGTAGTTCCGCGACGCTCGACGTCGACGCTTCGAAATGCGCGGCGGGGGATGTCTCGCGGCGCTGCCTTGCCAAGTATCGCGAGACTGCTCCGCCTTTACCTCCCTTCCCGCGCGGGGTTGGCTGGGAATAGTAGTCCGTTTGTATCTTCCTTTCTCGTTCTCCCACGTTAAAAACAAATAAAAGGGACCTGCGGGAACCCAGAGCGAAACGACGCCCATAATCCCCTCGTAAATCGACCGCGTCTTCTACATTCTCCTTTATACCACCCGCGGCCCCACGACCTTGGTTCTGAATCCCGGACTACAACTCCCATCCGGCTTTCCCCCAAAATGGCGGCCGCACCGCTTGCAACTCTCCTCGCCCCAGAGGGCGCCGCAGCATCGAACCCTCGCCTTTGTCCCGCCCCTCGCTGACGTCGAGCGAGGCAAACCAGGGCGCAGTGCATTGTGGGACAAGGGAGAGGTGGGGACAACCTGGGAAGCCATGGACACTGGCCGGGATGCTCCAGGTGAGTCTTTCTCCCTTTAAGCCCCGCCCACTTCCAGGCAGGAAAGGCCCCCCCCCGGGATTTCCGCCTCTTTGCTCCCCCATTGCCCACCCGAATCTGGCCCAAACTTTATATTAATTCCCCTTTGAGCCTTCCCTGTTTCCCTCCCCTATTTTTCTTCTCCCCATTAAAATCCCATTTTTCCTTTTGCGTTTTAATCCTGTATTCTCTTCCCCTCTCTCTTAAATCTTATTTTATTCTCCCTATTAAAATTTTATGTTTTCTTTTCTCGTGAAAAAGCCGATTTTTCTGCCACCCCCTTTTAAAATCCCTTATTTCTGCCTCCCTGTTAAGTTTTTAAATCTTATCTTTTGAATGGCTGGAAAGCACGAGGGTGAAGGTCTTTGGCTGCGGAGCCAAATGCTGGGAGTTCGAATCCACGCCCCCCGCCAGTGCCTTCTTGACGGAGTGGACCGCATGATGCATAGGGTCCTTTCCAGCTCTGTGAATCCACGCCCCCCTGCCAGTGCCTCCTTGACGGAGTGGACTGCATGATGCATAGGGTCCTTTCCAGCTCTGCAGATCTAAGATTGTTATCATAACCTTAAAACTGTAGTGCTGGAAGAGTCATCTCTAATCCACACACAGACTGGCCCATGTAGGAAAGGTTAAGACATCCCTCATAGAGATCTGTCTGTCTGTCTGTCTGTCTGTCTATCTATTTAGAGGTCTGTCTGTCTGTCTATCTCATAAAGTCCAAATCCTGTCAAGGAGGAACCGTGGGGGAAATCGCACTCCCAACCTCTGGCTCTGCAGCCAGCCAGAGATCTAAATCCCAAAGCTATCCAGCATTTATAGCTTACGTAAATTTTGGGGTGTATGATTCCTGCGGGTATTTGCACAATCCAGATATGATTTTTTTTGCTCCTCTTCTCCTTCCTCCACCCCCAGTGTGGGTAAAACAAAAAACAAAAACAACCCCACCCAACCCCATGTTTATGTGTGTCATCTTTCTTCCCACCAGGGAAAGCCAGCCGGTGGTTTGGTGTCACCATGCCCAAATCAGTGAAGACCAGCGTCAACATTCTCCACCAGGAGAAGCTGATTGCCCAGAAGAAGCGGGAGATCGAGGCCAAGATGGAACGGCAGGCCAAGCAGAACCACTTGAGAGGGCAGCTGGCTGCCCAAGCTAGCGAGTGCGTGCTTTATATTTAAGGGGCCACATATGTGTTGCTCCTTTTAGACAGACCCATGTTTTCCCTTTTAGTCCAGAAAAAAAAATCAAAATGGGTGCCCCAATGTTGTATCACATGCCTTTCTGAAAAACATACATTGAAGGAAGCTGGATTTTTAACCTTAAAGTTCTTCCTCTCTTGCTTTCCAGCGATGACAGTGGGGATGGCGAAAGCACCGTTTCAAACAAGTTTGCCAATGATGGGAGTTTCCTTCAGCAGTTCCTCAAACTCCAGAAGGAGAAATCAGAGAGCGGTGAGTGGCCTTTGCAAACAGCATTTCGCGTTCCTTCCCCTGCTGTTTGTGGCTTCTGATGTTCCTGGGTTCTCCCGGGAATCCCTGAAACACAGGAGTGGTTTGTGTTGAAAATTAAAGATTCAACACCTGCTGAATCTCACCACCTTGGAAAAGAGTGACAGGGCCTTCTTTGTGGTAGCTTCTACCTTATGATGCATTCTCAGTGGTGGCCCCACCAGAGAGATGCCTTAGTTTGTGTTTGTGTGTGTCTTTTTCTTCTCCTTCGGCTTTTGCTGAGAGGGTGACCCAGTTTGGCCTTTCTGTTGCTCCATTCCAAAAGTGAAGTGATTTGCACCCCTTTGCCGAGAGGGAACTGAAAGGGGCGACATCTTCCTGAAATGAATAGTCGGCTCAGATAGATTGGTTGCCTGAGGAGAGCTGGTTGGCTGGCTGGCTAATATTTATTTATTGCTGGAGAGCTTAGTAGTTTTTGTTTCTGGCAGAGGTACCCAAGGTTGGGGTTTCAAATCCCCCACTCTGCCTCCTTGACCAGGGCTGGATTTGATGATCCGTAGGGTCCTTTTCAGCTTTGCTCTTCTAAGATTACTAACTTACTAACTTATGAACTTACTTTATTAAGTAAGTTCATAAGTTACTTAATAAGTAACTTATTTATTAGTTAAGTAATTAAGTTAATTACTTAACTTTCTGCCTTTTTCACTGTAGGGGATCCAAGGTGGCTCAGAACAATTAAAATCATCTAATAACAATTAAAATAATATTATTGTTATTATTTAAAATGCCACCCCAAAGAATTGTTTTTTAAAAAATTAAAATACAGTGGTGCCTCGCAAGACGATGTTAATTCGTTCTGCGAAAAATGCTGTTTAGCGAAAACATTGTCTTGCGAAATGTGGTTCCCCATTGGAATGCATTGAAATCCATTTAATGCGTTCCAATGGGGAAAATAAGTTACTTAATAAGTAACTTGGTCTAGAGGGGCGGGGTAAAAATCAAATAAATAAATAAAATAAATAAAAATAAATAAATAAAATAGTCATCGTCTTGCGAAAATTGCCCCCAGAGATACCGTTTTGCAAAGTGCAGACCAGCTGTCAAAATCGCTGTCTTGCGAAAATCGGTCCCTAAAAAAACCCGTTTTGCGAGTTGTGGACCTAGCTGTCAAAATCGTTGTCTTGCGGAAAACAGTCCTGAAGCGCCATAGCGATCGCAAAAACTCATCGTCTTGTGAATAAACCATTTTGCAAGGTAATTGTCTAGCGAGGCACCCCTGTATTAGACAGGATTTCAGTGTACTGGAAGACATACGAATAAAGGCTGCTTTGGATGAATGCCTTTTTTTTTGGCTGTATTTTTAGTCCGTTTTTTCACAGTTCAACTGTGCGTGGTTTTTTCTTTGGTTTTCCGGAGTATGGCAGGAAGACGGCAAGGAAAGATTCTTTTAGCGACAACCACGTTGCAGATGAGGAGACGGAGGCTGAGTTACTGTAACTTACCTATGGTAACGTATTGATACCATAGGACTTTCATATCCACAGGGAGTTGGCTTGAAGCCTCCAGATGCTGAAAAGCGTGAATGATAGCACGCTTTATACATACATGGTCTCTGGCTCCGTCTTGTGCCGATTCTGGTAATTACATCATGAAAATGCATATTTCTGGGTTTTTTTTTTCTTTTAAAATTTCTAATATTTTCAGGCCGTAGATAAGTGAAACCAGGTATACCGACCCTGCATACTGGTGGCCCTACTGAGGATTTTGGACAATTCCCATATCACTGGGTAACACCAGCTCACCTTTTTAAAAAAACTCCCCTCCCCTCTTGTATTGCTCTCTAGGTGCTTCCTCCAGTTCCACTGAACCTCCGGCCGCAAATCCTCCAGCAGCCAAGAAGACCCTCCCGGCTGGGAAGCGCCCCAACCTCAGCGTCAGCAGCATGCTGAACCAAGTAAAAAACTACACGCATTCCAAGCAGACCCCCGTGACCAACCGCCTGAGCGTTTTCCAGTCTCCGGATGACGAGGAGGAGGATGATGATTACGAGCAGTGGCTGGAGATCAAAAGTAAGTCCTGTTTCCCCAGCAATGTAGTGTTTGTTTGTCTCGAGTGCATGTGGCGCTCCTCGAAGTGGGAAAGACCAGGTCCCGCTTCGTAGGACACTTATGGTATTTAAGACCAAACCACCCGCTCCAAGTCAGATAATGTAGGGCAGGGTGAAACAATGGAGAGGTGTGTTCGCTATATCAGAAGTCCCTGAGCAGGTGAGGCCACGATCTCGAGATCAATTTCATTTGTAAAAATGATGCTCTCTACGTTGGTGTCAGAGTTCCTGGGCCTTTCAGCCATAGAGAGAGGGGATGTTGTAGAAAGAAAAAAACAGGTCCATATCTTTCCCACCCGTGAGGGACCGTTCAGGTTTTGAAAAAAAAACCAAATTGATTAAAGTGAGTCATCTTTAATTTGGTGGAAAATACCATATTTTAACATCAAGAGCAAGGGGAAACAGAGGGCTATCTGTAGTTTCCCTCTGAAGCTTCTTTGGTGAGGTCTCGGATTCACTCTTTTTAACCCCAGAACATCTAGAGTGGATCTGGGTTATTTTTTTTCTTCCCAAAGTCAGTTTCCCTGGCTCCCTAAACGTACCATTCTGTGAAGTCCTCGACATGGCCTTCGAGCACAATCCACAATAGTCCTCCGTTCCCCTTTCCCCTCTTGAGGCCCTGAGTTCCGCAGGCCCTCCCTATGTTGAACGAACATGTTAGCCGCATGGGAGCAGGGGCTTGCTTTACCGTTATAGTTCCTTTGCTGCCGAAATCTATTTTTTTGGCTTTTGGGGCCTATGAATTCAGCTATTGCTCCCTTGCGGGGTCTAATAGGTCACTAATCTGTGTTCTCTCCCCTCTGCCCAATTTCGATGAGCATCGGTTTCTACAGCTCCCTGGTTTCATCCTTTTTCTCCTCGTTCCATTTCCCCCTCACACCTTCCTCCTCCCTGCCGACTTGTGCCTCCTACTGCTGTGGTTCTTAAGAGATAATTTGCCTGTTGGGGGTGTGACTTGGGAACCCCAGTACTGACAGCCTGCTTAAAGTTTGTCCCCCAGAGGACATCAAGACGCGCCGGTTGGTGGAGAAGCTGGCCAAGGTGGTGGCGGAAGGGGGCCCCGAACTGGAGAAGGTGGCGCTGGAAGACTGCAAGGATAACCCGGCATTTGCGTAGGTTCACCCCGAATAATAATAATAATAATAATAATAATAATAATAATAATAATAATAATAATAATAATAATAATAATAATAATAATGATGATGATGATGATGATGATGATGATGATGATGATGATGATGATGATGATGATAGGACTGCAGGGGGTGGAAGGGACCCCTGAGGATCACCCAGTCCAGCCTCTGTCAAAGAGGCCCGTTGGGGGGTGGATTCAAACTCCTAACCTCTGACTGCACAGCCAGAGACCTCCACGCCTGAGCCATCCCATAGTTCATGAGGTTCAGAGAAACTGATGTTCTCTCTAGTTAACCCTTGAAACCAAGGGTCACAAAATGTGGACGTTGTTGGATTACGATGGAGGAGACTCTGGGGAGATCCAGACTCTGCCCCCACCCACTACCCCATGGTGCTATCAGTCTCCTAAGTAAGTTAATAAAAAAACAAACAGGTTTTGTTTTACTTAAGCGATGGAAGAAATCTCTTGTATTCTCAAGGTCTCGATTCTCTCCCCCCCTCCATGTTTTTTTTTTTTTAAATCATTTTGGGCTATGTGGAAGGGCAGAAATTCTTCCCCCCCCCGCACCCATTGAAAAAGCACAAAGAAATTCAAAGTGGTAGTGTTGGAGCGGGTGCCTTTTGGCAGCTCATTTCTTGTCCCTTGTGGACTCCAAATCCCAGAATCCTCAGCTTCTGGGCACCCAGGGCCCAAAGTATCGGGACACCTGATTGCTGTGCTCAAGGCCTTTGGTTCCCCGCCGACATAAACCTGGGAGGAAAACTGAACAAAATACGGTCCTTGGTTTCTGTCTACCCCTTCGTGTGAACTCTGGACTGCCAGGAATGGCTCTCCCATGTTGGATGCTGGATTCCTTTCCGGGGAATCCTGGTGGCAGAATGTAGGGCTTTTTCCCTGGGGAAGAATCTTGCTTGCTATCTCCCTCGATACAGGGGGAACCCATCTTTCTTAACTGCATTCTCTTCTCGTCTCTCCGTCCTCATTCAGATTCCTGCATGACAAGAACAGTCCGGAGTTTCTTTACTACAGAAAGAAACTGGCGGAGATGTGGAAGAAGGGCCAGGATCCAGAGGAGATCTCCCCTGTTCAGAAAGGTAAGGCGAGGCCATGTGTCTCCTGACTACGACTCTCTTTATTTCCCACTTTAAGTGGTTTGTATGTAAAGATAATCTTTGGTCAGTGTGGCTCCTGAATCTTCTCCTTCTGTTAGAAGGGTGCAGACCAGTGAAAGAGTTGCTCCCAAAAAATCAAGTTCCTCAAAATTAAAAAAAAAATTAAGGATTAGCTAGTACAAAACAATATATATAAAAATTTCTGTGATTTGTGCATAAACGTCAGCCAGGGTTTTGGGTTTTCCGTTTGTTGTTTTTTTGTGAATCCTGGCTTGCTGTTATGTCAGAACCCATCCATAACAACAAACCTGGTTTGTTTGCCAGTTACAGGCTGTGATTCTCCTGGTTTGGTGTTGGCTTGCCAACAGGGTTTGGTTCGGATGCGTGCACACAGGGCGGGGGCTTGTCTCTCTAGTTGCCTGCCCTGAAGCAGGGAGTTGAGAAAAGTTGAGGGTGCGAGGAGAAAAGAAGCAATTGGTGTTTGGAGGAAGGCAAAATATGGTGTATTGATACAGCATATCTCGGATAGAATTAGATGAGAGATTCATTACTCTGGGCTCCTTGTTCATGCGGTTAGAAAGAAAAAGAAGCATTAAAAGTGCTTTGTGTTTGACTTTCTAAAGCTAGCTGGTAGAAGTTGAGTTTTCCCCTAGTTTTAAAAAATAAATTTAAAAAAAAAAGTTTGACCGGCTTGCTTCCCTCTTTGGCGGGCTCCGGTGTGCCCAATATTCGTGTATGGTGGAGAAAATACAAAAAAAGTGTGGTTTCTCTCCGTGTCCCGTTGGAGGCTCTCAGATTGAGTCTGGCTCAGGGCCCAAATTGAATGGCACAGGACCCAGAAAGCTCAGGTATTTTCTGCCAAACAGAATTGTTGAGCCCATGCATAATCCTGATTTAGAATGTTTGGTGCCGGCACCCCTCTGTGCCTATGCCGGAAGAAGCAGATCTTTCCTTTAACGGGTGGCCTTTCTGGACCCCGAGGTCCTAAAGTAACTCTATGGTTGGGAGGAATCATCATCATCATCTTAGAATGGCAGAAATGGAAGGGAACACTAGAGGTCATCCAGTCCGCCAAGGAGGCCCTGGGGGGGATTCAAACTCTCAACCTCTGGCTTCACAGCCAGCCAGCCAGAACATCTGAGCTATCCAGTAGTTCAAGAACTAACTTTCATCTTTCCAAGCAGCGGAAAATAACAGAAAAGTAAATCACACAGTGCAGGATGGATTGCCTTATTTTGAAACCCTGATCTATGGTGACTCACAAGCGATTGAAACACCAAACCAGTTTAATCATTACATTGAAAAACTGTTAAACATCTATAGGTATTAAACTAGTCAGTTAAAATAGTTAAAACACATTCAAAGCAAGGTAAAAGAATACATTAAAATAATGCACGGCACTCAAACTTTCCCAGATGTGGAGTGGATCTGAAAGTCAGCATTTAAAACAAAACCCCAAATGCTGCACAGAATCCTAAATGTGATTTACACCTGTGTAGGTGGAAGGGGTTCAGTCACAGTGGTAAATGACTGCTCATTAATGAGGTACTGTTTCAGTTTCCGATTTAGCGAGGGTGAATGCAGTCCAACCGGCACCTTGTTAATTAGCAGCCATTTGCTTCGAGGATGTTCTCAAAAGATGTGCATAAATTGTGGTCAACGACTTTTTAACCTTCCTGATCAGGGGGTTATAAATGGCTCAAGGTGTTTTTTTATGTTTGCCATCAGGTAAGGAGAAGTGGGGGGCAACCTGAAAAGTTGAGACCCGTGATCACAAGCAGTCTTTATTTTTTTTTCTCCCTGCGCACCGTAATGAGTTGCGTTCCGTCTTCCGACCCACACCCAGGTTTTTGTACGAGCCCAGTAGCTCTGGCTACAAGTATTACCGGGAGAAGTTGGACGAGTTCCGGAAAGCCAAAGAGGACGCGGAGGGCATGCCTCCCATCTTGGAAGCTGCTGCCAAACGGAAAGCCCCTCCGGAAGCAGCAGCCGCTGCTTCGGCCTCGAGGGCCGCTTCCCCGGGGCCAAAACCGGCCGCCTCATCTGGGGCCAAGAAGAAGCGGAAAAGCCGGTGGGGCCCGGAAGAGGAGAAAGTCGACCTCCCGCCCCCAGAACTTGTCCAGCAGACGGAGGAGCCCTCCCCGACCCCATTGTCTGGTTAGAACTTTGCATACTGAAAAAAATATACAGTGGTCCCTTGCTTAACGAGTGCACCGTTTAACGATGAATCCGCATAGCAATCTGTTTTTTTAGATCACTAATGCGATCGCATTTTGATGTTTTCAATGGCAAAACATTGCATTGCGATGATCGGTAAGCGTTTTGCTTACCGATCTTCGTATTGCGATGGTTTTTAAACAGCTGATCGGCGGTTCCAAAATGGCCGCCACGCGCCCAAAATGGCCACTGCAACTATTTTCGCGCCCTGCCCTTGCTTACCGAGGGCGCGAAAATGGTGGCTCTATGGAGGAACTTCGCTGAACGGTAAGTTTGGGGCCCCATAGGAACGCATTAAACGAAGTTTAATGCATCCCTATGGGGTTTTTTGATCCGTTTAGCGATGTTTTTGCATAGCGACGATTAATCCGGAACGGATTAACGTCGCTATGTGGGGCACCACAATATATTAACCGTCTTTGTCACTGGTGTTTTTTGCTTAGTAGGATTCAAATTATATGTCTTGTTTACTGGATCTGTTGTTCAAGAGGTGCAAAGGTTCCTTCAGCAGCTGATTGATGAGGCTTCAGGGTTGATAAACTGAATTTCTCAAGGAACGTGACCCCACAAAAACAAAAGACAGAAAGAACACCTTTTAATCCCTTTGCGAGTAACAGAAGCAGGTGAAATCGGCATAGACTCTCCATGAAATTGATTGTTTCATTGCCCTGTTTTTAAAAAGTAATGTGCATTACTCGGGCTTTTGGGCATTAGGTAAAGGTAAAGGTTCCCCTTGACAATTTTTGTCCAGTCGTGTCTGACTCTAGGGGGCGGCGCCCATCCCGCTCTTCAAGCCATAGAGCCAGCGTTTTGTCCGAAGACAATCTTTCCATGGTCACATGGCCAGTGTGATTTAGACACGGAACGCTGTTTACCTTCCCACCAAGGTGGTTCTTATTTATCTACTCGCATTTGCATGCTTTCGAACCGCTAGGTTGGCGGGAGATGGGACAAGCGACGGGAGCTCACTCCGTCGCGTGGATTCGATCTTACGACTGCCGGATCTTCTGACCCTGCAGCACAGGCTTCTGCGGTTTAGCCCACAGCTTAAAATGGCAACCGGATGGTTTAAGTCAAATGTTTCTTCAGAAAAACCCTAAGCTGCTTCTCTCGGGGCTAAAAAGGAGGCTTATTTTTTTTTTGGTTAAACGAAACCCTCTTCCTGCTTATTCCCCTCCCCTTGGGGGTCCCGCAAGGCAGGTTTAGCTTATGGCTCTTAGGTGTGTGAGTTGGGGCCACCGTACTGACAAGCTGCTTAAAGTTTCACCCCCAGACGACGAAGAGATCAAGGAGAGCGCCGAGAAGTTGGCCCGCTTTGTGGCAGATGGGGGCCCGGTGGCGGAGATGGTCGCCCTGAAGAACCACAGAGAGAACCAGTCGTTCAGGTGAGGAGAGCAGGCTGGGATTTGGGCTGTGGGTCTTTTTCCGGAAGAAGCAGATCTTTCCTTTAACGGGTGGCCTTTCTGGACCCCGAGGTCCTAAAGTAACTCTATGGTTGGGAGGAATCATCATCATCATCTTAGAATGGCAGAAATGGAAGGGAACACTAGAGGTCATCCAGTCCGCCAAGGAGGCCCTGGGGGGGATTCAAACTCTCAACCTCTGGCTTCACAGCCAGCCAGCCAGAACATCTGAGCTATCCAGTAGTTCAAAAACTCAGTTTCATCTTTCCAAGCAGCGGAAAATAACAGAAAAGTAAATCACACAGTGCAGGATGGATTGCCTTATTTTGAAACCCTGATCTATGGTGACTCACAAGCGATTGAAACACTAAACCAGTTTAATCATTACATTGAAAAACTGTTAAACATCTATAGGTATTAAACTAGTCAGTTAAAATAGTTAAAACACATTCAAAGCAAGGTAAAAGAATACATTAAAATAATGCACGGCACTCAAACTTTCCCAGATGTGGAGTGGATCTGAAGGTCAGCATTTAAAACAAAACCCCAAATGCTGCACAGAATCCTAAATGTGATTTACACCTGTGTAGGTGGAAGGGGTTCAGTCACAGTGGTAAATGACTGCTCATTAATGAGGTACTGTTTCAGTTTCCGATTTAGCGAGGGTGAATGCAGTCCAACCGGCACCTTGTTAATTAGCAGCCATTTGCTTCGAGGATGTTCTCAAAAGATGTGCATAAATTGTGGTCAACGACTTTTTAACCTTCCTGATCAGGGGGTTATAAATGGCTCAAGGTGTTTTTTTATGTTTGCCATCAGGTAAGGAGAAGTGGGGGGCAACCTGAAAAGTTGAGACCCGTGATCACAAGCAGTCTTTATTTTTTTTTCTCCCTGCGCACCGTAATGAGTTGCGTTCCGTCTTCCGACCCACACCCAGGTTTTTGTACGAGCCCAGTAGCTCTGGCTACAAGTATTACCGGGAGAAGTTGGACGAGTTCCGGAAAGCCAAAGAGGACGCGGAGGGCATGCCTCCCATCTTGGAAGCTGCTGCCAAACGGAAAGCCCCTCCGGAAGCAGCAGCCGCTGCTTCGGCCTCAAGGGCCGCTTCCCCGGGGCCAAAACCGGCCGCCTCATCTGGGGCCAAGAAGAAGCGGAAAAGCCGGTGGGGCCCGGAAGAGGAGAAAGTCGACCTCCCGCCCCCAGAACTTGTCCAGCAGACGGAGGAGCCCTCCCCGACCCCATTGTCTGGTTAGAACTTTGCATACTGAAAAAAATATACAGTGGTCCCTTGCTTAACGAGTGCACCGTTTAACGATGAATCCGCATAGCAATCTGTTTTTTTAGATCACTAATGCGATCGCATTTTGATGTTTTCAATGGCAAAACATTGCATTGCGATGATCGGTAAGCGTTTTGCTTACCGATCTTCGTATTGCGATGGTTTTTAAACAGCTGATCGGCGGTTCCAAAATGGCCGCCACGCGCCCAAAATGGCCACTGCAACTATTTTCGCGCCCTGCCCTTGCTTACCGAGGACGCAAAAATGGCAGCGCTATGGAGAAACATCGCAGAACGGTGAGTTTAAGAGCCGTAGGAACGCATTAAACTAAGTTTAATGCGTTTCTATGGTGTTTTCCATTCCGTATAGCAATGTTTCCCCATAGCGACCGTTAATCCGGAACGGATTAACGTCGCTATGCGGGGCACCACAATATATTAACCGTCTTTGTCACTGGTGTTTTTTGCTTAGTAGGATTCAAATTATATGTCTTGTTTACTGGATCTGTTGTTCAAGAGGTGCAAAGGTTCCTTCAGCAGCTGATTGATGAGGCTTCAGGGTTGATAAACTGAATTTCTCAAGGAACGTGACCCCACAAAAACAAAAGACAGAAGAACACCTTTTAATCCCTAATATATTAACCGTCTTTGTCACTGGTGTTTTTTGCTTAGTAGGATTCAAATTATATGTCTTGTTTACTGGATCTGTTGTTCAAGAGGTGCAAAGGTTCCTTCAGCAGCTGATTGATGAGGCTTCAGGGTTGATAAACTGAATTTCTCAAGGAACGTGACCCCACAAAAACAAAAGACAGAAGAACACCTTTTAATCCCTTTACGATTAACAGAAGCAGGTGAAATTGGCACAGACTCTCCATGAAATTGATTGTTTCATTGCCCTGTTTTTAAAAAGTAATGTGCATTACTCGGGCTTTTGGTCATTAGGTAAAGGTAAAGGTTCCCCTTGACAATTTTTGTCCAGTCGTGTCTGACTCTAGGGGGCGGCGCCCATCCCGCTCTTCAAGCCATAGAGCCAGCGTTTTGTCCGAAGACAATCTTTCCATGGTCACATGGCCAGTGTGATTTAGACACGGAACGCTGTTTACCTTCCCACCAAGGTGGTTCTTATTTATCTACTCGCATTTGCATGCTTTCGAACCGCTAGGTTGGCGGGAGATGGGACAAGCGACGGGAGCTCACTCCGTCGCGTGGATTCGATCTTACGACTGCCGGATCTTCTGACCCTGCAGCACAGGCTTCTGCGGTTTAGCCCACAGCTTAAAATGGCAACCGGATGGTTTAAGTCAAATGTTTCTTCAGAAAAACCCTAAGCTGCTTCTCTCGGGGCTGGGAAGGAAAGAGGGGCTGGCCTGCGACGCAGTTACTTGGGCTTTTGGGCATTGCCTTTGCTTAAAATGGCAACGGGGTGGTTTAAGTCAAATGTTTCTTCAGAAAAGCCTTAAGCTGCTTCTCTCGGGGCTGGGAAGGAAAGAGGGGCTGGCCTGCGACGCACCGGGACCGATTGGAAGGTTTCACAGCTTAAATGTCTCTCCAGTCCAGGATCTGAAGGGTCTCGGCTACGAAAAAGGGAAGCCGGTCGGGCTGGTGGGGGTCACGGAGCTCTCGGATGCCCAGAAAAAGCAACTGAAGGAGCAACAAGAGGTAACCAAAGACAGAGGGAGGTGCTTTACAGAAACAAAACCCTTGTGTAAAATTGAGATTGTGCCCTGTGGTTTCGTCTGGACGGGGCAGTAAACATGAACAGGGGTGTTTTTTGTTTCTGGGAATGGCATGCCAGGGAATCCAGGACTTCCCTCTGCTTAATTCATTATCATCATCATAGAACGGCAGAGCAGGAAGGGACCCTTAAAGATCATCCATTTCAGCCCCTGTCAAGGAGGATTTGAGGGGGATTTGAACTCCCAACCTTTGGCTCTGCAGTCAGAGACCTAAACCCCTGAGCTCTCAAATGAGGCAGGACACAGACATTTAGATACATATTCAGTATACCAAAGGGCGGGGTGAAGGATTGGTTTGAAGGGAGGCATCCATCACCTTGGGAAGGAAAGAAGCTGATAAGGGGAAACACAATAAGACCCCTATGTCTGCAGAGGATCCGTTCCAAGCCCCCCCCCGCTACCCCCACGGATACTGAAAACCGTGGATAATAGTGAACCTGGTACATAATGTCTAATGGCTGAGTCTGATTCTTTATCTGGATGCCTAAACCCTTAAGCTATCCGGCAGTTTTGTAAGCCTCCCGTATTTGTCATATTGTCTAATGGCCAAGTCTGGTTCTTTAGCCGGATGCCTAAACCCTTGAGCTATCCAGCAGTTTTGTAAGCCTCCCGTATTTGTCATTCCCCCCATTTCCACCTGCCCCCGTTGACACCACAGATGCAGCAGATGTACGACATGATCATGAAGCACAAGCGCGCCATGCAAGAGATGCAGCTGATGTGGGAGAAGACGGTCAAGCAGCACAAGTCGGGGTACGACAGCGACGAGGAGGTGGATAGCGAGCTCGGCACCTGGGAGCACCAGCTGCGGCGCATGGAAATGGAGAAGACGCGAGGTACGGGGTGGATGGGTTTCGAGGCTGCTGGGTGATCCCAGTTCCGGGTGGGGGGAAGTGGCGAGTCTGTCCTGAGTTTTGGTCCGAACTTTTCAAGTTCTCCCAAGTGGTCAAACCAGGATGCGTTTTAAAGTAAAGTTGTTGAACCTCCGCCCCCCTCGGAAGTGCTGTAACTTTTTCTTCTTCTTGCGCGGTCTCCTCTTTTACGCCATGCTCGCCTCCCCATGCGCAGAGTGGGCGGAGCAGCTGACGCAGATGGGCCGAGGGAAGCATTTCATCGGGGACTTCCTCCCCCCGGATGAACTGGAAAAATTCATGGAGACCTTCAAAGCCCTGAAAGTGAGTACTCTCCCCCCCCCAAAAAAGATTCCTGCGTGCAGAGTCCTGTTCTCTGCCTTTTTGCTTTGTTTGTTAGTTAGTTTGTTTTTCATTCCAGCAGGCTGAAAGATGCTAATTTATTTCCTCCTTAAAATCCGCTTCCGTTTTGCTCCCTCTCTGGTTTCCTTGTCCTCTCCAGGAAGGCCGCGAACCTGATTATTCAGAATATAAGGAGTTCAAGTTGACAGTGGAGAACATCGGTTACCAGATGCTGATGAAGATGGGCTGGAAAGAAGGGGAGGGGCTCGGCTCCGAGGGGCAGGGCATCAAAGCCCCTGTCAACAAGTACGGGCGCCTGTTTCGAACTCTCTTGCTTTTCCTTCCCTCTGACCAGGCAGGGGGAAATGGCTTTGTCCGCTGCAGTAAACGTTACAGATTTCAACACTTGCATCTATCGTCCGCTGTCGGGTGGGCCACCCAGATGGCTGACCTTTTACCCCCAAGGATCACCTATGAGATCTAGGGGGAGTGGTGTCAGTGTTGGGCTAGGACTCTGATTCGAGACCTGGGTTCGAATCTCACTTGGCCATGGAAACGTTTAGGGAGGGCATTGTGGCTTAATTTAAAAAGTAAATGGCTACCCCTAGGTGCTTCTTTGGGCCGCTGTTCACTTTTTTTCCTGCGGGGGGGGAGAATTATCGGGAAAAGGCTGCATGGAAAATGTTTTGGCCCACCCTGGTCTACTCTGGATTAGCAGCAGCTCTTGTGGGGTTTGGTTTGGCCTGGGCAGCGCAGGCTAGGGGATTTTGGGTGTCGTAGTTCCCCCCCCCGCTCTCTTTCCTCTTGCTGGTGGCCAAAGAGTCAGAATGCAGCCTTTTCCAAAAACAGGGGCGTGACGGCGGTGGACGGGGCAGGCTTTGGGATCGACCGCCCGGCCGACCTGACTAAGGAAGATGATGAGTATGAGGCCTTCCGGAAGAGGATGATGCTGGCCTACAGGTTCCGCCCCAATCCTTTGGTGAGGAGCAGCTTTCGTCTTTCCTGTATTGATATTTTTATTTACTCATTTTCAGAGTCGGAGGGGGGCATGCCAAAGGGGTGGTATCTGCCCAAATCCGGTCTCGCGTGGGTTGCAAATCCTTTCAAAATAATGTTTTCTGTTTCCAGCGGGGGCTCAGTTCCAAACTTCCAGCAGATACTGGAAACCACGGATAACAGCAAATCTATCTCCAAATCACCCGCTGATTTGTGGATGGTATGGATAGCATAGTCTCTGGTTCCCTCTGGTGGCCAGTTCTGGCAATCCACCTTAGAAACACATATAAATACATATATCTGGGGTTGTTGTTTTTTAATTTAATATTTTCAGGCAGTGAATGAGTGAAATTTTGGATTCTGATCCTGCAGAAACAGGATAACTATTTATTTTTTGGCTTCCTGTTCCACTCTGTGCTGATTCTCCCCCCATTTTTTTTTCAGAATAATCCTCGGCGTCCATACTACTGACTCCACCAGGGGCTCCTGCGAACGGTGATGTCTTCAACGCAGCCTCTCTCCCTTTTGTTTCTCCCTTTTTCTCTCTTTTTAATTTTATGTTTTCTAGCAGAGCCTTCTTTTCCTGGCCTTTTTGTCCATCTGCCTCCAGAGCAACCTCTGACCCGTTTGTTCATTGCATCTCCGGACGGCTTCTGACTTCTGTCTTTCCCGTTGTGTATATATATATATATATTTGAGACAGTCCCCGATAAGGTGGAGGAGGAACCGGATGGACTTAAATCTTATGATTTGTGGAAATGTGGGGTTTTTTGGGGGGGGGACACAGGAAGAGAAACCCAGGCATTGAAATATCAGCTAAACTGAATTCTCGTTGAAGTACTGTTGGTGTTCTCTTTTTAAAAAAGAGTCATTTTCCATGTCTCTGTATGAGTTTCCAGTCTGGGCCGATCAGCGCCGTTGGACCGATGGAGCCACGATATCGTCAGTGCTTTGAACGATCATCCCAGTGAGGGGGGGACGAAAAAGGCCAAAGAGGGGTCAGAAATAGGGTAAAAAAAATGCACCTGTTTTCTCCGGGGCTGCTTAAAAAAATTAAAATTACGGAATGCTCCCACCACGCAAACCTTTTATGTGGAGCCAAAGACGATCATTCCACTTCCAGGAGAAATGGTGCTGGGTTTCCCGGTCTCTTTCCAAAGATCTCACCATCCCGACACTCGTTGGAGGCCAAAAAGAGGCTACTGTTAAACCTGGTTTCTCACTCTTCAAAGTCTAATTGAACGTCTAGGTTTTGACCACAAAGTTTTAAAGTTAGGGCTAGGCTGTTTAAGGAAAACCCCGGGCATCCGCCTTGATCTCGCTTGGATGTCCGCCATGCCTGTTATATCCCAGTTTTGGTTTGCTGCCTTCAGTCTCCCTCCCCTCACCCGTTGCAAACCCCCAAACCCATGTATTCTTATTTTTTGGAAAGGTTTCTTTTATTTCTTTGGGATGGTATGTATGTGCGTGCGTGTGTGTTTTATGTTTTAACAGAAACCGTAGAGTTTAACACTTTGGGCTTTTGAAAAACAAGTTAAATAAACTTAGAGAAACAAGGTTAACTCGGGGTGTCTCTCTTTTTCTTTTATTCTCCCTGCGTTTGGTGAGGCTTGTCAAGCCGTTCGTAGATCTAGAAAAGGGTTTTTTGGTGTGGTTCTTGATAAAAACAAGTCAGAGCAGGTGATCTGGCGGAGTGGGAGGGTGGGTGTTTCATCGCTCGCAAGGTTGCGCCGGATCATCCACGGCATGGAGAACCTCGAAACGTGGCCACTGCTGTGCGTTGAGCAGGACAGCACAGCTAAGGTGGAAAAACAGCCTCTGTGGCTCATGCTAAGCATGTGACTGACAGGAGGGTGGGAGGCTGCTGGGAAAAAGGCTGATCTTTAGAGCGATCTGCTTGTTTGCTTCCCTCTGGCCAGCCTTCACCTGTTTTCTGGCTGACTTCACGCCACCTTGTCTGTGGACTTTTCAGGTTCCGATCGCACCCTGTGGGGAAATTCCTATTTTCGTTTTCCTCACTGACACACCATTCCTTCAAAGCTCCACGCCTGAGCCTCCGTGAATAGCCCTTTTTCTGATCCATCAGCTGAAGCAGACAGACCTCTTTCTCCTCTTAAGGAAGTCCCCCCCCTTTTTCATGGCATGTGAACTGTCCAATTCCTGGGGCAGTAAAAACTGGCTTAAACCAGTTTATCAACTCTTTATATTTTAATATATTCGCAAAGGCTTTCACGGCCAGGATCTAATGGTTGTTCTGGGTTTTTCGGGCTCTTTGGCCGTGTTCTGGAGGTTGTTTTTCCTGATATTTCACCAGTCTCTGGCTGGCGAAACGTCAGGAAGAACAACCTTCAGAACACGGCCAAAGAGCCCGAAAAACCCAGAACAACCATTAGATCCTGGCCGATTTTCATTTTTTTGTTCCAAGAGGTTTTAGGTCGCCCAAACCCCCTCCTCGCAGGAATGCCTGAAGCCACAAAGGCTGGTCTTGAATTTGTTGAAAGTTAGGATTCTCCTTGTTTGGAAAACATCCGATGTTGCCCTCTCTTGCTACTTTTTAAGCTGCTTTCTGGGAGATCCTGAAGCTTTTGCAACAATGCCTGGATTTTATTTGGTCTATGGGGGGGGGGGGTTTGCTACAAGCTAGCTACCCTGCATTCTTAGGCTGAAGGGAAAGGAGGAAAGATAAAAAAAGAAAAAACAGCTAAGTTTTATCGCCCTTTTAAGAGGATTGCAACCTCCCTGCTTTTTTTTCCTCCCTCTTAAAGGATTTACTTGTTCTCCCTGCTGGCAACGCGACCTTTGGATAGAACTCACTTCGCCCTGGGTTTTTTTTTTTCCTTCTTTCCTTTCGCTCCGGAGGAAAACCCAGAGCTTTCCCGGAGCGTTTGGGGGTCCCCCAAGCCGGGCGATTTCCCCCTCTCCCTCTGCACCCAGCCGGAGGGTCTCTTGCCCGCTTCCTCGCTGCCCCTTCCCACGACCCCGGCGGACGCGCGTCTGGGCGCTCTGCCCCTCTGCAGCCATGCGGGTCCACCCGGTCGGGGTCTCCCTGGGCTTGTTCCTCTCCGCCTTCCCCGTCTGCTACGTCTTGAACAGCGTGGTGGCCCTGGAGCAGTGAGTATCGTGGGAACGGCGGCTTTTCTGCACCTGCGGCCTAGCGCCGAGAGGGAACACGCGTGTTTCGGGGGGTCCCTCCCCCGCGAGCGCTCCCGTCCGGCTCTCCTCCGCCTCCTTTTTCTATATATATATGTTTAAAACTGTGAAATCAGAGGCAAAAAGTTAAGCCCCCAACTTTCCTTTCTTACAAAGGCGTGGATTTTTAAATAATGTATTTAATTGTGAAAGTTATTTGCTACCATGTTGTGCTTCTGGGCTCTTCTGGGTCCCAGAGAGGAAAAGATTCTGCAGAGATGAACCTGGAGTGCTTTATTATTATTATTATTATTATTATTATTATTATTATTATTATTATTATTATTATTATTATTATTATTATTATTATTGCACCTTGAGAGGAGCTAGGCATGAAGATCCATAGAGTCCCTTCCAGCTTTGCAGTTCTAAGATGATGATGATAATCACTACAGTATTTTAATTTGAAATATTTTATATGACAAACACAAGTTTTTCCCAAAAACCTATCCATTAAATTTTTAAAAAAGGTGTCAGTATTATTATTGTTGTTGATATTATTATTATTGTCAATTGAATAATGTGATGAATATAATTAATAATATATCAACTGTTAATAATGCTACCAATACTGTATTAATACAATGCTGTATTAAATATTAATTGATATTCTTATTGAATGATTCATTGTCATTATTATTAATAGTAGTATAATGTATTATTTAATGAGAATAAAAATTAATATTTAATTTTGTTGTGTTGTTTTCTTGTTGTTGTTAATAATAATAATAATAATAATAATAATAATAATAATAATAATAATAATAATAATAATAATAATAATAATAATAATAATAATAATAATAATAATAATAATAATAATAATAATAATAATAATAATAATAATAATAATAATAATAATAATAATAATAATAATAATAATAATAATAATAATAATAATAATAATAATAATAATAATAATAATAATAATAATAATAATAATAATAATAATAATAATAATAATAATAATAATAATAATAATAATAATAATAATAATAATAATAATAATAATAATAAAGGTTTTGACCCACCACCCATTTTGACCCTCCACCCATTCTTGACCCAGCAGGTTGCCAACGTTGCCAGTTCATGGTGTGATTCATTCAGTGAGCAATGGCTATTTTTATCTCTCTCTCTCTCTCTCTGGCTGTATTAAATATTAATTGATATTCTTATTGAATGATTCATTGTCATTATTATTAATAGTAGTATAATGAATTATTTAATGAGAATAAAAATTAATATTTAATTTTGTTGTGTTGTTTTGTTGTTAATAATAATAATAATAATAATAATAATAATAATAATAATAATAATAATAATAATAATAATAATAATAAGAATAATAATAATAATAATAAAGGTTTTGACCCACCACCCATTTTGACCCTCCACCCATTCTTGACCCAGCAGGTTGCCAACGTTGCCAGTTCATGGTGTGATTCATTCAGTGAGCAATGGCTATTTTTATCTCTCTCTCTCTCTCTCTCTGTTTGTGTGTTTTAATGGACATTTGATGCAACGTCTGGGCGTTGCACAGTTTTGCACCCTAGACTGCCAGCACCCACGTGTGAGCTGGCCAGACTTTGAACCCTGTCTGGTTGTCGAAAGCCGTGTCCAGGACCGGCTGACACGGCAACTTCGCGAGCGACCCCCACCTTGAGCTCCCCGGTCACCAGAAAAAAGCTGGCTTAGAAGACAGCTAGAACAGATTAAAGCAGAACTTAACAATAGATTTTTTCTTTAAAAAAATAAAAATAAAATGGAACTTCCCTCTCCAGGAGCAGTCTACCTTTAAATGTCATTTGCCGGCTCACACATCCCGGGGGGATCACATCTGAAAACCTGTATCAGCAGGGGTGGTTTGGGACGATGGACTCCCCCGCCCATCGTCCTTTAGCCTCCACCACGCCTTCCAGATGGCAAAAAGGGATAATTCGGGAGCTTTGTGTGGGAGGGGGGCCTAGAAGATCAGAAATCTTGGCCCCTCTGAAATTTGATGGGCATCAAAGTTTTCACAAAGGAAACCCAACCCGATCATGGCCAGGGTTCAGGGTCTTAAGCTTGTATGCGCCGAGATCATCCATTTTTTTAAAAATGCAGAAATCCAGGTAGCTGCTTTTTAAATATTTGAATGTCTGAATCCTATATTTATCCCCTGGTTTTTGCCCCCCACAGTCCTGTGGCCATCATGGCGACCGGTTTTGCAGTCTTGGCTCTTCTGTTTGCTGTGATCTACGTCCCGTCTGGCTCCCGGGACCCTCTCTTCTCTGGTATGGGGGAGGCATATTTTCTTTTTCTTTCTTTATTCATATTTTCTTTTATTCAAATTTATGGGTTAAACCCATGGACTGAAACGTGTGTGTCTTGCTTCTCCCAGTCTTCATGGTTTTCTCCTTCACCTCCGGGATCGATGCCATCATCGCTCTGGAAGAGGACGGCTACGTCAGTGACTTTATGGGATTCTACATGAGAGAGGTGTGTCCATGGGCTGAGGACCAACACGTATTTTTTGTGTTCAAATGGGTTCCCACAGGGTTCAAACCCTAACCCCCGCCCACCAGGGAAAGCTGTTTGTTTGCAACCAGGGCCATGTAAGCCACGCGTCCACACCGGGTTGTGGCACAAACTTTTCAGGCACTTTTCCAAGGTCCTGAACCCTGGGGTGGAGATGCCATCAAGTTGCTTCCACTTCAGAACCATTTCTGAGTCCATGTAAGTTTTCAAGGGCTGTTAACAACAGGAGTTGCTGTGAGTCCATGGCTTCCTTTCTCGTTTTGGACCATCTCATGTCCGCTCTTCCTCTTGTCTTGCTTCTTGACGCTTTTCCCACTGCAATAATCTCACGGGATCCGTTGCAACAGCAGATGCCGAAAGCTGTAGATAATAGCAAACTCGAGAGCAAGCATAGTCTCTGGTTTCCCCTAGTGACTTGTTCCAGGAATTACACCATGGAAATACATATAATACTTATTTCTGGTTTTTAAAATTTATAATTTCCAGAACCCACGGATACTGATCCCGTGGATACAGGGGTCCTCCTGGATTTCCAGCTGAATCCTATCTGTAAAATCAAACCAACAGCCTGGAAATCTACTGTCAAGTTCAGATCAAAACCTGGAATAAATTCAGAGCCCTGGATAAAATCAAGCCCCAGCCTCCTGTTACTCCAGCGGGCAACACAGCCTTTGCATTCTTACTAATATTTATATTTTGCTGTTCCTCCAGTAAATTCCACCTCCCACATAAGAACCCTGTAAGGTAGGCCAGCTTCAGACAGAGACAGAGAAAGATTGTTCCAAGTCCCCCATTGAGTTTCATGGCCTGGTTGGAATTTTTAGTCTAGATTCCTGAGTCCCAGTCTGTCAGGTGTCCCGGAGGTCATTTAGCCTGACCCCATGCTCAGACAATCCATGTACATTAGGACCCCTGTATCCACGTGGGATCGATTCCAGGAGTCATGCGGATGGTGGAAAATGTGGATAATAGTGAACACTATTATAATAGTGAGTGCTATACATAGCATGTTCTCTGGCTCCCTCTAGTGGCCAGTTCTGGTAAATTCAGGGTTAAACATATATATTCTGGGGATTTTTCTTTTAATATTTTCACACCATGGATAAATGAATCAGTGGATACTGATTCCGTGGATAAAAATATCCTACTGTTTTCCCCTTGGATTTCAGGGTGAGCCGTATCTTACCACAGCCCACGGGATTATGATGTGCTACTGGGACAGCGTGGTTCACTATACCCTCTATCTTGCTATGATTTTGGCCATCACTCAACGGTGAGCTGTGAGTGGCGATTTGGGGCACAGTCTTCAGGAGCCCTAGTAAAATATGCCTAACAGACAGACAATTCAACAGGTGCCACCTTACGGATGCACCAGCAGAACATTTACCTGTCCGGCTGCCCTTTGGCAGCCCTCAAGTTTTGCCTAAAGGGAAATAGAAGAAGGAGAAATAAGTAAAGCCTCCTTAGGCAAGAGCAGTTTAGCCCTCCAAACTGGCTTTAGTTGTTGATTTTTCCAAAGAATTTCCCTAGAACAGTCTGTTATAAATGGCACAGCGATGGGCTGTATGGCTCAGAAATTAAACTCTCCTAAACTCTGAAGATCGCAAGATTTGAGCAGGGCCCCGACATTTTGCAAAGCTAAGAAAATATTTGCGGGGGGTGGGATGACTCTGGGATTGACTCAGGGGCTGCAGACATCAGAAGGTGGATGGGATAGAAAACCAGGTTGGGAAAGAGAAGGTGGGACAGACTTTCGTGGAAGATGGTGCCACTGGCTCGAATACTGAGCTGAATCGCTCAGCGCTGCAACTTTTTGCTGCAGTGCTTTGTCCTAACACTCACCGTTTCCTGCAGGAAAAGTTACCGGAACGTCGGCCTCTATTGGATCGGGTCTCTCACGATGAATCTCGTGGTTTTCCTTTTGGGCAACGTGATCGGTGAGTTCTTCCGGAACCCGAGGGTTTTTTCTGGGCCCCGACGCTGGACAACTCCTGATCCTAACTCTACATGTTTTTTTTCTAGGGAAGTACGGCTCCGAGATCCGGCCGGCCTTCCTTCTCAACACCCCTTTCCTGGTCATCCCCATCTGGGCTGCTACCCGGATTTTCCCCCAGCCAAAGGACTTACCTCTGGTGACAGCTGATAAGGTACTGCAGAATTGCTATACAGTAGAACCCCCATATCTATAGGGGGTTGGATTCAAACCCCCCTGCAGATGCCCCAAACAGTAGATAATAGTGAACCCTATACATAGTACTGTATGATCTAGTGGCCAGGTCTGGTAATTATGTTGTGGAAATGCATCATTCGATAGCAAACTGTATACATGGAACAGTCTATGGCTCCCTCGAGTGTCTAGTTCTGCTAATTACATCATGGAAATATGTACCGTCTTCTTCTGTGTATAAGACTACACTTTTGTCTACAATCTTTAGACTAAAAATTGAGGGTCGTCTTATACATGGAAGTAAGCTGAGGAGAGAACAAAAACAAGTGGACAGGAAAGCAGGGATCAAAGCGATCCTGCAGCACTTTGATCCCTTTCCCCCTACACTTGCCAAGCCCCACTTAGATTTCTTAATGTTGGGTTAGAAAAGTGGGGGGGGTGTCTTATACATAGGGGGGTCTTAAACACAGAAAAATACAGGTAGTCCTGGTTTTTTTAAAATATTTTCAGACTGTGGATAAGTGAAACCCCCAGATACTGGATGCCATTTGTGCTGTAAAAGCTGAACCCAAGATTCAACAACTTACCTTTTTTTCGGTTTCTTTTCTGTTTCTCTTTTCCCGTTGGGGAAGATCGCCGAAGAGCAGGGCAAAAGCTTGCTCCAGCGCCCCCTGGATTTGGGACTGGTGGCGTATCTCCTTTTTGCCGCAGCCTTCACCCTCTTCCGTGGACTGGTAAGCACAGGGAAACTCACTGTTCCTTGCATTGCGAAACACAAGGGGGGGAAAATGACAAGAATTTTCAGATGATGGATAAATGAATCTGTGGATACCGATCCCGTGGATAAGGGAGTCCTACTGTATTTGCCAAAAAGTAAGTTGTTTGCTCATCTGTTCGCTGCCATAGGTGGTATTGGATTGTCCGGCCGATGCCTACTGTATTTGCGAAAAATTAAGTTGTTTGCTTATCTGTTCGCTGGTGTAGGTGGTATTGGATTGTCCGGCCGATGCCTGCTTTGACTACCTCTATCAGCAGGAACCTTATTTACGCGATCCGGTCGCCTACCCCAAAATTCAGGTAAGCAGAACCCGGCTTAGACGGGTGGGGTGGGGTGGGGGACAGAGTTATCCTCGTGAAGGCAGTGCGAAAAATTAAGTTGTTTGCTTATCTGTTCGCTGGTGTAGGTGGTATTGGATTGTCCGGCCGATGCCTGCTTTGACTACCTCTATCAGCAGGAACCTTATTTACGCGATCCGGTCGCCTACCCCAAAATTCAGGTAAGCAGAACCCGGCTTAGACGGGTGGGGTGGGGTGGGGGACAGAGTTATCCTCGTGAAGGCAGTCTGGCTTAGTATTCAATAGTCGCCTTCCGGGTCTTAAATTAGCTGCCTCGGGTCTCTTGCCGTCAAAAGCATCGCCTTTGAGTTGCCAAACCTGTCTAAAAATGGGGTCCAGTTAATTTGCAAAGTTGCAGCCCTCTCCGGTATCGGGCCGGTCCCTTTTCTATCTCTGGGCCTGGCTTACAGGGATTCGCATACAGCACTTTTGAGCCCGTTAGAAGAAATGTGGGGACATCACCCCGAATCTATGCCCTTGTGATCCACACCTTGTTGAGTCACATGACTGTCATTTGAGGAGAACCCCAAGACTAATGAACCACCACTCATTGGCCGCTGGGTCCCCCCCCCCCCGTTCGAGGAGAACCCCAAGACTAATGAACCAGCACTCACTGGCCGCTGGGTCCCCCCCTCCCCCGCCTTGCGAATGAATAGGATTCTGGCCCATGAATGTGTAAAACAAACAAAAAGGGGTAATTTGGTGTTGGTTAGAATTAACTGAACAACACTGACGTGCTTTGAAGTGGATGAAAAGCCTGTTTTCTTTAACCTGCCGGTATTTCAGTCTCCGATCCATTTGATGCTTGGGGAAAGCAAACATCTTTGGAAGATGGATCAGTTTTGGTGTCGCGTTTTGAACACAGTGCAGGTTTTCAGGGCGGGGCAGCCCCACCTTCTCGATAAAGGTCTGGCCAGCTTTTCCTTCCGGTATCTTTTTCTTCTAGATGCTGGTGTATCTCCACTATGTCCTGCCGTATTTCTGCGTCTGCATCTACGGGTTGCTCCGGCCCGGAGTCACGTGGATGCCGGATTGGGCCCTCGTATTCGCCGGGGCCATTGCTCAGGTAAGATGGCCCGGCTGCTGAATTCCAGACCAAAACAGCTGCATTTGAATGACTTACTCTTTACAGAGCTGCCTTACTCAAGAGTATACCCTGTTAGGTTCTATGGGATTAAATCCTAGGGAATGATCCCAAGGATTTACCATCCATGACTGTCCATCTCGTCAGATGGCTGGATTGATTGACGGATTGATGGAAAATATTTTTAACCCGCTTTTCTCCTTAAAAAAGTCTCAAGGCGACTGATGCCATTCAAAGACCCATATTGAGAAGCTGAAAACAGTCACTAACCATTTAAAAATAATTAAATGAGTATTATATTTAAAATGGTAAATAAAACCAAGACTTAAAAAACCCCACATTTGAAAACAACAGAGCACAACAATCCATTGGGAAAAAAAAAAACCAGACTACTAGTCACAAGAGATTAATCTGGGGAATTTGTGTGACTCAGGAACAGTAGAGAGCAGGCAGGTTGATCTGCCTCCTTTGGGTTCCTCCTTGTTTAGTCGGATTTATTCTCTTTTGCAGAAGGACCAAAAAAGAAATTTTTCTTAGCGATCCTTCTGATAAAGGACCACCGTCTTTTCAAATTTA